AGAAATTTTGCCATGATCCGTGTGAGGCTCGTGTTGAATGTTTGCTTTTATTGAGCTGCCAAACTGACAAGCTCCCCCACAAAATCGTGTTTGCCCACACACAGAGAAAAGCGCATCCACACACACATCCGCCGCCATCCTGACAGGCTACTTAAACTCCTCAAGCAAAAGCCCTCAAAGAAAATTAATGCGGAGTATAGAGTTGCGGCGCTCTCATCGCCTCCCGTCTGTCCGCCTTAAAAGCACCCTTTCAGTGTGAATGGCACACTCTGTCGTCACACAATAAAGCTCTCGCTTTGTCAACTACAATTAAATATGAAGAGTTGTATTCTTACTCCCCTGGATGTGTGACAGAAGCGAAATAATGTTCTGGCTGCTTTAGATGCATAACGACAAAGTTGTGTAGCTCCCGAGTGTCGGCTCACAAACGCAACTGTGATTTAATGAAGGGCAGACATGTTCAGAAATAAATCAGTCCAAATTTCAAACTCACTTCCATCTGCGCTCAAAGTGGCAAAGGTGAGCTTCTTTTCCGCCGAGCCGGCACTGTTGATGACCTTCATTTGCAAGTCGTACCAGGTGGCTTCCTGCAGGTCGTACAGGATGTAGCTCTTGGTCAGCGACGTGCGCTGAGCTGTGGTCCAGGTGGCCGAGTCCACAGCTTTGTACTCCAGTATGAAGGAGGTGATCGGACAGCCGCCGTTGTTCCAGCCAACCAGATTAAGTCTGGCGCGGGAAGAGTTGATGCTGGTGAAGAGTTCATGTTCTTTGGCAAACTGCGGTTCTGAAGAGCAGACACACACACACGCAGAAGCTCGGCTTTTTGACTTGCCCGGCACGATTCATAACATCCATCCACCAATTCATCCATCATACCTTTCCCGTGTGTTTTAGCTTCAATGATCTCACTAATTCGGCCTGGCCCAACAGCGTTCTGGGCGGTCAAGGTGAATTTATACCAGGTGCCACACTTTAAATTCTCCAGACGGTACAAACGCTCGCTGGGACTGATGGGAAAACTGCCCCACTGCTCGCTGTTATCCTCTGAGTACTGCAGGATGTAGCCTGCCGATGAAAAGATGACAGAATATGTTCTGAAAAATCTTTCTAGTTCTGTGAACAACATCACGGTTTCGCAATCATGATCATATTAGTCTTCTAAAGATGCATTTCCTCGCCAAAAGAGTCCCCACCAAGTGGGGTTTCAGTTGTGTTTCAGTGTTTCATGAGTTTCAGCTGATACGTTATTTTACCCTGGCTGCGGTTAGTATATTTTCAGGAAAAAAAAAAAAAAA